TAAAAATGGATTTTGGCAAATTCAATTGACTGAAGAGTCAAAAAAATTGACAGCTTTCGGTACACCTAGAGGACATTACCACTGGAATGTTATGCCTTTTGGGTTAAATATTGCACCACAGGTATTTCAACGGTGGATGGATACAATTTTTAAAGACCTTAAAGATTGTTGTGTACTTTATATTGATGATATACTTATCTTTTCTAAAATCAAGGAGGAGCATAAGAAACATTTAAAATTACTTTGTGAAAGATTCCAAAAACATGGAATTATTTTGTCTCCAAAAAAGATTGAATTAGAAAAAGAATCAATTGAATTTTTGGAAATAATTTCAGACCAAAAAGGTTTAAAATTACAAGAACATATTTTGTCCAAAGTACGAGATTTTCCTAATACTCTTGAAAATATAACACAATTACAGAGTCTATTAGGCATTTTAAATTATGAACGAAATTTTATTAAAAATCTTTCAAAAATAGAAATTCCTTGGTTAACCAAATTAAGGAAAAATGTTATTTTTGAATAGACAACAGAAGATGTTGCTTTAATTAAACAAATTAAAAAAAATGTTAAAACTTTACCAGATGTTTATCTTCCTAAAACAAGCGATAAATTAATTTTAGAAACAGATGCCTCAGACGCATGCTGGGGATGTGTTCTTAAAGCAATACCAAGTAATTTATGGTATGATAAAGAGATACCTTTATCAGAAAATGGGATTAGACCAAGAAAAAATTCAATACCCATAAAATTACAAAAAGAAGAGTTAATTTGTGGATATAATTCTGGAACATTTAAATTAAATGAACAGAAATATATTATTTTCGAAAAAGAATTACTTGCAATAAAATTGGCAATAAAGAGTTTTCATATTTATTTAGCCCCAAAAAATTTTATTGTACGCACTGATAATAAGACAGTAAGAGATTTCTTGATCAATAAAAAACATATTGAACAAGGAAGAAAATTAGCCTGGTATAATAAAATTTCTGAATATACTTTTGAAGTAGAACATCTTAAAGGTACTAACAATTTTCTTGCAGATTTTCTTAGCAGAAATTGTTTTAGTAAATTAAATTGCTAAACAAGTAAATTTAATTTTTGCAGAAGACCTCTAGACCAAGAGGAAACAATGGATAAGGGTAAACAACCCTCTCAAGGAGATTGGGTGACAATTGCTAAAAAAGCAAACCCCAAAGAAGAAAAAGTTTATGTTGTGTTTGCAGAAAAACAACCTGGAATTTACACAGAATGGAATGATTGCAAAACACAAATTGTGGATATTCAGGAGCGAGCTATAAAGCATATGATAGCATGACCAAAGCTAAAAAAGCTTTTTGCAGTGCACCAGCTATGCCTGTTTATCAAAAGAATTTTTGTCAAATGAAAACTAACCCACTTCCAACTAATATTCAGACATCTAGACCAGATGAATCTGAAATAAAAGATTTTTTCAATCCTAGTATATCCAGAGAAATTTATACAGAACTCAATGGAGTTTGGAAAACTCACATTGTAGACAACAAAGTGAAATTTCGAAAACACATGGGAGTTTTGGCCAACAAATTAGCTGAGCAAACAGCTAAATTAAAAGATTTGTAAAATCTTTGTTTCAATATTCTTAAACAAATGAATTGGAATGAAGATTTTAATTTTGAAAAAATAAACAATTTTCTTCAACTATCAGACCTCATATCAGCTGAGTTTTCTGATCCAGTTTTTGAACAAATAAAAAGAATTTGTCTTTTTGAAAAAGCAAGAACTTTGCTTCCAAAAGAAATTTTTATGTTAATTAAAAATCGGGTTGAAGATCATCATGATAAGATTAGACAAATCTTAGAACGATCTTACGATAAATTAAATTTGAGAGATGGAATTCCCAAAATAACCATCATGGCAAACCATGACATGTGATTTTTTGAAGATATAGATTGGGGAATAACTAATCAAGTTATTTTCTAAATTTTAGATCCAATTCAATGGATAGATTATCCAATGATCATCAAAACAATGCTCTCATGGATAGTAAAAGGCTTTCGATGGAGCAAATATTTTACTTTTTGGATCTCCAGTACTGTTGGTTGGCGAGAACGAGAACATTTTTCCCAACCATACCAGATTTGGTATCTTAAAGAAACTGAAGATTTTGAATTTGAAAATGATTATTTAGATGAAGATTACCGAAGAGAGCAATTAGAAAATATGCAAAAACTTTCCTTAACAGAATATTGGATAGACAGTCTAATATCTGTTTCACAAGCAGCGTCCAACATCCATGGCTCAGCAAAATTGCCATTCATGGTTACAGATGGAAGAATATTATTTGTAACCCATTTTCCCATAACATATTAAAGGTCTCCAACGCAAATTAATGAGGCTCTTGACATGTTAATAAATCTCAAAAAGAGAAATAATTTGGATCTTCCGTTGGAACTAGCCATGACCGCAGATGATGTAGAACATTTCCGGAATGAGCAATACAGCCAAGATCCGGATTCCTCTCTATCAGAGACTGATGAAGAATATCACAATCTCATCAACAGGATGGAAGCATAGTGGACCCCACTATCAAATGCAGCTGTCTCCTGATCGACTCCAACCTTATCCAGGACACGTAGAGTAACCTGCATTATTTGGCGGAAAGTGATCAGCCACATCCTTTCAGCCGACGCTACACGACAAATCAGCTCAGCCAAAACTTATTTACAACAGTCTATCTCTTTGAAAATCAGGGAGGGTAGACAGTGTGTATCAGTGTATATAATTGTAAAAACTGTAGCAAAGAGCAAATAATTGTAGTCCTTTTGTATTTATTTTTGTCTCTTTGTATTTACTTTTAGGTAGATTTTTCAAAAAGCCTATGACTAGGCTTGCCTAAAGAGTTAAAAAAATTAGCAACTTTTAAGACGTAAAGTCATACAAAGTTAGATATGTTAGATATAAGTTAGTTATGCAATAAGTCATATTTTGTTTGTATTCCCCTCTTGTAAGTCTATATATTGGCCTTTATGCCAACATAATGAAGCATGTAAATTCCCTTCAACTTCTCTCCATCTTTCTTCTTTGTCTCTAAGTTCTCTATCATAATTCCTTATTCTATAACTCCACCATAATTCCATAAGTAAAAAGCTCCTTTCCTTTTTAGTTTTGTAATTGGTATCAGAGCTTGGTGAAGAGTTTTGAAAAGATAAGTATATCTTATGCTCCTCCTTGGTTTTAGAGAAGATAAGTATATCATCAATATAAACTACACAACAATCTTTAACGTCTTAAAAAATTGTATCCATCCACCGTTGAAATACCTGTGGTGCAATATTTAACCCAAAAGGCATAACATTCCAGTGGTAATGTCCTCTAGGTGTACTGAAAGCTATCAATTTTTTTGACTCTTCAGTCAATTGAATTTGCCAAAATCCACTTTTATAATCAAATTTGCTAAAGATTTTTTATCCTTTGGTTAAGTTAATCAAAACATCTTTTCATGGAATAAAATATCCATCAAATTCTAAATTTTCATTTAGCCGTTTATAGTTGACTACCATTCGGGCTTTTTCTCTTTTAATTTCAGCATGATTTCTTACCATAAAAGCTGGACTAGAGTGAGGACTTTTAGTTTCTTCAATTACTTTTTGTCTAAAAGTTCCTAGAGTTGAATATCAAATTCATCTATATCTTGTCTAGTATAGATCATCGGTCTTACTCTAATGATAACATTAGGGTCTTTCAATTTTAAACTACAATAACGTGGACTACATTGCCATAGTTTTAATAGATATTCACTAAAATTTTCTTCTAAAATTTTATAAATCCAATGTGATTCATCAATAGTACATTGGAAGAGCAAAGAGTAGACAAAACTACTTGTTAAATAAATTACTTGTTAAATAAATTGAACCATATTCTATTTAAAAAAAATCAAGCTCTGCATTTTTTATTAGTCACCTCACTAGTTTTTGTTACAGATTGATGATGTTGGCATGAATACAGTGATGTTTTTGGGCCAGGTTGATGATGTTTGCATGGGCGCAATTTACATTATATTTTTGTTTATGGAAAATATATATACCTGATATGTTTTGTTATTAAGATTTTTTTTTTTTTAATTTGGATTTTATTTGTTGCTTTGGATAGTATATGTATTTGTTGGATTATACTATGTTTATAGATTCTTATTTTCTTTGATATGTACGGTTAATAGTTAAGTTTTGTATATAGTTGAAAATTGAATGCTACAGGTTGTAGAGAAATATTTTTATTGAATAGTTGAGAATTGAATAAATGAATGGATGAATAATTTTGTATATGCACAGATTACAGGTGGTACAAAAAATATTATAGAACAAATTATAAAAACTAAATGAGATCTTTTGGTGACTAAACAAATATCATATGTTGACTTTTGGCTACTGAAATTTTAGTCCCCAATTGTCAAAAAGCGAAACTGTTGGCTACTACACTTTTAGTCGCCAATTGTAAAAAGGAAACTTTTGGCTACTAAAATTTTAGTTGCCAATTCTCAAAAAGCGAAACTTTTAGTTACCAAATAGTTAGTCGCCAAACATACATGCTCAATTGGCTACTAAATAATTTAGTCGCTAAAAGTAAAATTTTTAAAAAATATATGGCGACTAAAGTTTTAGTCGCCGATAGGTCACTTTTGGCTATCAAAAAAATTTTAGTCGCCGATTGCCTTCTCTGACAAACTATTGGCGACTAAACTGGTGACCAAATATATTAGTCGCCAAAAATAATTGGCTACTAAAGTAAGGCTTTTGGTGACTAAAATTTTAATCGCCAAAAGTAAAATTTCTTGTAGTGAGTATATAGACTATTGTGTACCTACATTGAATTTTTGACTTCATCACTGATTGGAGGTTGGAATGGTAGTTGTCAACATTAAAAATAAACGAAACACACAAATTTTACTAACCAATATTGAATGTTGTTCCTTGGATTTGGACCAAAAAAATAAAAATAACCAAATGTGGGAGACAATAGTATACGCTCAACCAAAAATCAAATTACTTACATGTAGTTAAACAACATACAATATTTCTTAATTTAGATCATACAACACAACTAGCATGGGCATTCCATGTGATTCTAAATCTTAATTAAAACTTGCCTCCTTCATAACCATCCAGCTTATGAGGAGGTCACAAACACAGTAATGCTATTAAACATAATACAACAGTAGCAAAATATTGAGAATGAGGGCGTGAATTCAAAATCATTCATGAGCAACTACAACTAATTGTTTCCCAACATTGCGCCCTCTGAAAAGTCTTACAAGGGCTGAAGGTCCATTCTCAAGGCCTTCAACAATATCTTCAACATATGTGATTTTTCCTTCTCTGATATAGGGAAGCACACTGGCCAAGAACTTGGAATAATGGGGATGGTAATCGAAAACCACAAATCCTTCCATGCGAACACGCTTGTAAAGTAGTTGCATCAAGTTCTTTACTCCTTCTGGTTCCTCAAGATTGTATTGGGATACCATTCCGCAAATAGCAATGCGACCATAATTCCTCATATTGAGAAGTACAGCATCCAACATCTTCCCTCCAACATTCTCAAAGTAAATGTCAATGCCTTGAGGAAAATACCTACAACCAGAATCAGAGCACACTGATCAAGTAATGATGGCTCACGAAGTTCACTTGGAATATAATGTAAAACATAAGGAAAATTATCACTCTATTTGCTTTTGTTTTTAGAATCTATTTTTTGAAAATAAATTTTTAAAAAAATTAAAAGCTAGTTTGGTGAGACAAATGAAAAAATAAAAATAAAAAAAATAATTCATCAATTTCATATAATTTTCTCTCATTTCGAAGGAAATAATTTTTAAAAATATCTTTTTAATGTTAGTTTTTTTATTTACCAAAAACCAGTTTCTGTCTTTTAAAAAAAATAAAAATAAATTAGAAAACATATTTTGAAACATGGTCAATATGAAAATAAGTCATCATATTTCTAAAGGATTGTGGTAATAGGGGGATTCCTAGACTGGATCCCTTGGAAACACTCTCAACTATTGATTGAATAGTATTGAGATCTATCACATACATATAATTGAACAACTCAGAGCTCTAAACCAGTTTCACTCCCTTGAGCTTCAAACCAATATTTTTTGACTTTGTATTCTGCAAAATGTGCAAACTGACCTTTTCAAAGCTGCATCCAAGTCATGCTCTTCCTTGTAATTAAAAGCCTCATCAAATCCTAATTTCTTCAACAGATCAACCTTAGAGAGTACAAATAAAAAGTAAACTTAATGGTTAGTAAGTGTCCAAATCACACCATTCAATTCTTCTTTCCATCATAAGTAAAAAAATCATAAAATTTGAAAATTTTGAAGTTGAAAGCATGTTCAATTTCATGGTATCCAATTCATTTTTAAGTTTCTTAGATAGCATCCTTTATTATGACAAATCTATGTTTGGGGATTTCATCTATTTTAGTATATAATATTTTTCTCAACTGAATTATGTAATATAGACAAAGGTTTCATTAACACTTTTAACATGCAATGGAACAAGAAGTACAAGATCATATACTACTATGAATATTAACCAGTGGTAAATACAAGTCAAGTATTGAAACTAGATGTCATTTAAAAAAGGCAAGTGTTTTATGAATTAGTATAGGAAAGAAAACATGTTAGGATTATCGCAAAATATAGCCTATATTGTAGAATTATCTAAACTGGTGTTAACTAGCAATTGTGAGTTTGTGAAATGTTACATAAAACATATGATCAGGTTATTCAACTTAATTAATGTTGTCTATATCCGAGTGACCCACGCTGGAAAATTATTCTCAAAGCATGCACAAAATAAGCAATAACTTATGAAAATCAAATTAGAGTACTTATTAAATGTGATGTCAATCACCTTTTCTTGAGTTCCAGCACTTCCAACAACATAGCAACCCATCAACTTAGCAAACTGTCCAACAAGTTGACCAACTGCACCTGATGCTGCAGATACGAAGACATATTCTCCTTTCTTTGGAGTGCAAACCTCATGAAAACCAACATAAGCAGTCAAACCAGGCGTACCTATTAACAAACAAAAAACATACTGGACAATTAATCAATAAATATACCCCACTAAAAGAAAGGTCATATGCTTAACTTCCTTTGGGAAAACAACTATTTTTGCTTTTTTAAGATGACATTAGTTATAGATCAATTGCATTGTGTAGATTTAAAAATGAAGCTAGTGACAAAATAGAAGAAGTTAAATACACTAACCAAGAATTCCTGTATAATATGACAGGGGTACATCAGTATGATCGATTTTAAAAAGAGCTTCAGGGGTTGTAATGAGGCTGTACTCTTCCCATCCGATTGTTCCCCAAACAAAATCACCCTTCTTGATGTTTGGGTGACCTGAATCTATAACCTTAGCTACTCCATTGCCCATTATTACCTGCACATCACATTCACATATCACATCACAATTAAAACCTACAAATCAATTAGAATGAGGGCATCCATGAAACGAAAACCAGTGCAGTTCTAACTCACTTTCGATTTTGACAATGCAATACTACTCGCGTCAGTACCATCTCCCTAACTCCTTTTTAGGTAAATTATAACTCTCTATAGATTTATTTAAATTACAAATTATTTTTCATAATTTTAAAAATTATATTATGTCTCATAAAATTTTTAATTTCATAATAAATATATTATTTTATTAATAAATCATTAAGTTAGTTAAGAATTTTTAATAATATTAAAATTTTATTTCAATTAATAATTTCGATAATTTTATTATTGTATAAGTAAACAGTTAGAAATTTTACATTTTTAATTAATTTTGTTAAATAAAAAAATTCAGACATGGGAATATTTGTAAATCACATAAAACAATTCGTATTTTAAACAAACATCAGAAGTGTATTTGTAATTAACCCTTCTTTTTATTTATTTATGATCTTGAGATGCAATCATCTGGAAAAATTAATTTTTTCCAAATATAGCCTATATTGTAGAATTATCTAAACTGGTGTTAACTAGCAATTGTGAGTTTGTGAAATGTTACATAAAACATATGATCAGGTTATTCAACTTAATTAATGTTGTCTATATCCGAGTGACCCACGCTGGTAAATTATTCTCAAAGCATGCACAAAATAAGCAATAACTTATGAAAATCAAATTAGAGTACTTATTAAATGTGATGTCAATCACCTTTTCTTGAGTTCCAGCACTTCCAACAACATAGCAACCCATCAACTTAGCAAACTGTCCAACAAGTTGACCAACTGCACCTGATGCTGCAGATACGAAGACATATTCTCCTTTCTTTGGAGTGCAAACCTCATGAAAACCAACATAAGCAGTCAAACCAGGCGTACCTATTAACAAACAAAAAACATACTGGACAATTAATCAATAAATATACCCCACTAAAAGAAAGGTCATATGCTTAACTTCCTTTGGGAAAACAACTATTTTTGCTTTTTTAAGATGGCATTAGTTAGATCAATTGCATTGTGTAGATTTAAAAATGAAGCTAGTGACAAGATAGAAGAAGTTAAATACACTAACCAAGAATTCCTGTATAATATGACAGGGGTACATCAGTATGATCGATTTTAAAAAGAGCTTCAGGGGTTGTAATGAGACTGTACTCTTCCCATCCGATTGTTCCCCAAACAAAATCACCCTTCTTGATGTTTGGGTGACCTGAATCTATAACCTTAGCTACTCCATGACCCATTATTACCTGCACATCACATTCACATATCACATCACAATTAAAACCTACAAATCAATTTGAATGAGGGCATCCATGAAACGAAAACCAGTGCAGTTCTAACTCACTTTCGATTTTGACAATGCATTACTACTCGCGTCAGTACCATCTCCCTAACTCCTTTTGTAGGTAAATTATAACTCTCTATAGATTTATTTAAATTACAAATTATTTTCTATAATTTAAAAAATTATATTATGTCTCATAAAATTTTTAATTTCATAATAAATATATTATTTTATTAATAAATCATTAAGTTAGTTAAGAATTTTTAATAATATTAAAATTTTATTTCAATTAATAATTTCGATAATTTTATTATTGTATAAGTAAACAGTTAAAAATTTTACATTTTTAATTAATTTTGTTAAATAAAAAAATTCGGACATGAAAATATTTGTAAATCACATAGAACAATTCGTATTTTAAACAAACATCAGAAGTGTATTTGTAATTTACCCTTCTTTTTATTTATTTATGATCTGGAGATGCAATCATCTGGAAAAATTAATTTTTTCCAGCCACTTTGAAGTATCTATTAGTGCTTTCTAAAAGATAGACTTATAGCCTCGTTTGGAATGTAATCTTTTTAGTTTAAAAATCAAAAAAAATCATTAACAAAATTTAAAAATTTAAAAATTAACAATTTATACTAAAAAGTTAAATATTTTTTTTTTACTTTTTGCATAATTTTTTGTAAAAAATTAAAAAGTCATCTTAAATATATTAATTTTTTTTAATCATATTTTAGCTAAAAATTACTAAAAAAAGATATTCCTAAACGAGGGTAGCCCACTTTAAAATTTGAAATTTCTATTCTTACAGTAAAAACTTGTTCCAAGAAATGAAAGGTTGAGACACTACCGCCATGTTTGGTTTGGTTTTAGAAATTTGTTCTAGAAAATTTTTCTAAAAAATTAAAAACTAATTTGGTGAAAGAAATTAAATAAAAATAAAAAATACTTATCATTTTTACATAATTTTGGGTGTGTTTGGTTTGATTTTGGAAGATATATTTTAAAAAAAAAAAATTAGGGAGAGTTTAGAAATTTTTTTATTGTTTGGTTTTATATTTTGAAAATAGTTTTAGAGTACGAGAGTTTGGGATGATTTGACATTTTGTTATTGTTGAGTAGATGTCTGTGAGAGAAAAAGTAATTGAAAAGGAAAAAGAAGAGAGAAAAATTGATTGATTGATTTGTAAGAGAGAAAATGATTTTAAAAACCAAACAAATTTTTCTTCAAAATTACTCTCTCAAAAACAAACCAAACAAGATTTTTATTTTTGGGAGACCAGAAATAATTTTTAAAAATTTTAGAATATTGTTTTAATACCAACATATACTCTAAAGCTTGGTTTGGGATACCCAAAAAAATCTAAAAAGCTAAAAAATTACTAAAAAAGTTAAAAAGTTACTAAAATAGTTAAAAAGTTATCACTATTCATCAAAAAAAATATTAAAAAATTAATTTTACACATAATTAATTTTCAAACTCTGGCGTCCCATAGGCAGAGCTGACTTTTTGGAAAAATCGCATAGGCGGGGTGCACAAATAACACGGTGTTGTTCAGTCCGTAGGGGCCATCACAAGTCCCGTTTTAATAATCTGAACCGATCAATGTGTAGAACTCGTCGAGTACCATATGTCTATAAAAAATCACATTAATCGGATATCGCTAAATACATGATCAAATCAATTTTGTATAAAAAAATTGATGGTATTATAATTAATGGTTGAAAAAAAACTAATTCAATCAAATAGCTATCAATATCTGATCAACGTGATTTTTTACAAACATATAATACTCGACAAGTTCTACATATTGAACGATTTTGATTAACAAAAAGGGACCCATGGTGGGCTCCCATAGGCCGAACAACACCTCCAATTCAATGCTCGAAAAGAAAGGAACCATCTTCTAGCTTATACTCTGCACGCACTGTCCCTTAATTCATCCAACCGTACAACCTATTTTATCTCATTCTTCTCCTATACATTAATTTATACAATTTTTTATTACATATTTTTTCGTAAAAAGTCAAAAAATTATTCTAAACAATCATATTTTTTTTCTCAATTTTTTAGTTTAAAAAGTCAAAAAGTAGGCACTCCAAACCATCCCTAAAATTCATAGCTTATTTACTTCAAAAATTTTAATACCTGCATATACTTAAATTCATGAATTCCAAGTAAGATACAATCAAATAAGAGAGAGAGATAGAGAATCAAATGAGAGAGAGAGAGAGAGAGAGAGAGGTGCATACAGAACCAGGGGTATAGGAAGTGAAGACGCTAGGACCCTCAATTGTTTTCATGAGAATTTGCATGTAAGGATCGCATGACAAGTAGAGGTTCTTCAACAGAACTCCATTTGAGCCTTTTGGGAGCTTCAAGCTAATAATCTTGTCCGTGGTCATATGCATATCAGACTCTTTTGGTAAACCGGTGATGTAGTCTCTGAATATCACCTGCTTGTTCTTTACTTCTTCCTCTGCCATTTCTACGCTTTCTTCTCGTCTCCCCTCCCTCTCTACAATCCAAGCCCAACCTCTCTTTTTTTTTTTGGGTGAATATCCCAACCTCTCTTTCTCCCCCTTTATTTATTTTCTCCACCTTTATTTATTATCTATCTATTTGTATATCGTCATTAATCATTTGTTTCTCCACTACTACTCTGCCAATGTGGATAGTCATATTTGAAACGTCACCAATGCCGCATTCTCTAAAGAAGTTAAAAAATTTAAAAGAATAAGATTAAGGTTAAGTTTGGCATGATTGAAAAAAGACAAAAAATTAAAAAGTTACTATCCTATTTAAGTCATATCATCTTATTTAAGTTACATCAACTCTCTAGCACATGACTTCAAACCCAATCCAAATTCAACCCATATTTCATAAAAAGTCAAAAAGTACACTTATTTAGTCTTCCCAAACTAGGCCTAAGTTTGACATATCTTGAAAAAGACAAAAAGTTAAAAAGTTACTATCCTATTTAAGTCATATCATCTTATTTAAGTTACATCACCTCTCTAACACATCACTTCAAACCCAACCCAAACCCAACCCATATTTCATAAAAAGTCAAAAAATACACTTATTTAGATTATTCGAAACAACCCCTAAATATAAAAGTGAGGAGTTATTTGGATTGAACTATATAAGTGTATTTTTTAAGTTTTTGAATAAAAAGATAAAGGAAAAAGATATAATTGTTTCAGATAATTTTTTGATATTTTACAAACAAAAATGTATTAAATAATTTAAAATGGTTTCGCAACCCTTGAAAAATTCAAAAAGTTATCAAAAAAGTTAAAAAATTATCACTATTTACTAAAAAAAATATTTAAAAAATAATAAACACATATTAATACAAATAAAAAAAAAAAGCCCCAAGATTGGTACTGATGTGATGGTGGAGTCAGGGACTGGGAAAAAAAATTATTGTAAAATATTTACTAAATTGGATAGTAGAGCTAGGCCCGTGGGGGCCCACCATGGGTCCCGTTTTGATAATCTGAACCGTTTCAATTTGTAGAAATTGTCTAGTACTATATACTTGTAAAAAATCACGTCTATCGGATATCGCTAAATACATGATCAAATCAGTTTTGTATAAAAATAGATGGTGTTATAGTTAACAGTTAACAAAAAAAACTAATACGATCAGATAGCTATCGATATCCAATCAATGTGATTTTTTTTAAGCATATAGTACTCGATGAGTTCTACACGTTGAACAATTCCGATTAGTAAAACGGGACCCGTGGTGGGCCCACATGGACCAAACAGAACCGACCAATTTATGCCCGAAAAGTAGATAATCAATCTCCTACACTGCCCTTTGTCGTGTTGCCTTTTAGGCTTCCAACCATACTACCTATTCCATCACTTTCTTCCCCTATACACTTATTTATATAATTTTTTAATATATATTTTTCTATAAAAAGTCAAAAAGTTAACACAAACATCAATTTTTTTTTCCTCAACTTTTTAATTTAAAAAGACAAAAAATACGCTTATTTAAGACATCCCAAACAACCCCGTAGTCTTTGAATATCACCGGTTCGTTCCTTACTTCTTCCTCTGCCATTTCTACCCTTTTCTTCTCTTGTCTCCCTTTCCCTCTCCCTCTTTACAATCCAAGCCCAAATAAGTGCACTTTTTGTCTTTTTGGACTAAAAAGTTGAGGAAAAAAATATGAATATTTAGGTTAACTTTTTGACTTTTTATGAAAAATGTGTATTAAAAAATTGTATAAATAAGTGTATAGGAGAATAAAGTAATGGTATAGGCCGTACGGTTGGAAGCTTAAAGGGCAGCGCGGCAGAGGGCGTGTAGGAGATTGATTCTCTACTTTTTGGGCATAAATTGGTCAGTTCTGTTCGGCCATGGGGGCCCACCACGAATCCCGTTTTACTAATCGGAATCGTTCAATGTGTAGAACTCGTTGAGTACTATATGCTTGTAAAAAATCACGTTGATTGGATATCGATAGCTATCTGATCGTATTAGTTTTTTTGTTAACTGTTAACAATAACACTATCCATTTTTATACAAAACTGATTTGATCATGTATTTAACGATATTCGATAGACGTGATTTTTTACAAGCATATAGTACTAGACGAGTTCTACATATTACACGATTCAGATTATCAAAACGAGACCCATGGTGGGCCCCCACGAGCCCAGCTCTACCATCCAATTTAATGAATATTTTACTCCCATTTTTTTTTCCCCGGTCTCTGACGGGCTCATCACATCTGTACCTTGTTAATTGTATTTTTTTTGATTTGTATTATTATGTATATATTATTTTTTTTTAATTTTTTTAAGTAAATAATAATAATTTTTTAATTTTTTAATAATTTTTTAACTTTTTAAATTTTTTAAAAGTTTCCAAACCAGCACTTATTACCTACCTATTTATATATCATCATTAATGGTTTGTTTCTCCACTACAACTCTGCCAATGTGAAGAGTCATACTTGAAACGTCACCAATGAATCATTCTCTAAAGAAGTTTTAAAAAATTTAAAAGAGTAAATATAAAAATAAAGAATTGTTTGGGTTGAACTATATAAGTGCACTTTTTAATTTTTTGAATAAAAAAGTAAAGGAAAAAAATATAATTGTTTGGGAGAAATTTTTGACATTTTACACAAAAAAAAAAATGTATTAAATAATTTAAAATGGTTTGGCAACTCTTGAAAAATTCAAAAAGTTAAAAAGTTACCCAAAAAATTAAAAAGTTATCACTATTTACCTAAAAAAATAATATACACATATTAATACAAATAAAAAAAAACCCAAGATTGGTATTAACGTGATGGTGGAGTCAGGGACCGGGAGGAAATTATTATAAAATATTCACTAAATTGGATGGTAGAGCTGGGCCCGTGGGAGCCCACCATGGTTTCCGTTTTGATAATTTGAACCGTTGAATATGTTGAAATCATCTAGTATTATATACCTGTAAAAAATCACATGTATCGGATATCGCTAAATACATGATCAAATCAGTTTTGTATAAAAATAGATGGTGTTATAGTTAATAGTTAATAAAAAAAAACTAACACGATCGGATAGCTATTGATATCCAATCAACGTGATTTTTTATAAGCATATAGTACTACACGAGTTCTACACATTGAACGGTTCCGATTAGAAAAACGGGACCCATTGTGGGCCCATATGGGCCGAACAAAACTGACCAATTTATGCCCAAAAAGTAGAGAATCAACCTCCTACACTGCCTTCTGCCGCGCTGCCCTTTAGGCTTCCAACCGTACGACCTATTACATCACTTTCTTCCCCTATACACATAGTTATATAATTTTTTAATACACATTTTTCTATAAAAAGTCAAAAAGTTAACCCAAACATCCATATTTTTTTCTTCAACTTTTTAGTCTAAAAAAATAAAAAAATACTTATTTAGAACACTCCATGTAACAATCCAGATTTTTAATTATTCGGTAGAATTTATACTAATATTATTTAATCACAGTTAGGAAAATATATAATTTATTATATATTATTATGTGTAATCTTGTAAAACAATATAATTTGTAAAACTTTAAGGGTCAAAATAATAATAATAATAATAATAATAATAATAGGTATGGTAATAAAATAAATAATTAATTTTATGTTGATATACGATAGAGTGTAATTTAATTAGAAATTAATTTATTTATATAATTATATTAAAATATTAAGTCAAAATATAATTATCTTAAATATTTATTAAAGATAAAAATAAATCTCTATAATTATTAATCGAAACTGAGAGAGATTCGCACGCCACGTATGCGCCTTATCTCCCTATAAAAGGGCGGTGATCAACCTGCGTGAAAGAAAAGGAAAAGAAAGAAAAGGAACAGAATGAAAGGAAAGAAAGAAAAAGGAAAGAAGAAAGAAAGAAAGGAAAGAAAGAAAAGAGAGGAAGAAGGAAAAAAATAGTGAAAGTTAAAAGGGTCTTTATAGTGGAAAGAAAGAGTAAGATATTAAAATTAATGTGAATTATATTATGTCTTGAGTTACCAAAATGTATTTTACATATATTTTGACTTACCATATTTGTTTTATATAAGTTATGATTTTATAAATTATTATAAACTACATTTGACGTGGTTAGGCCCATAAAGACCATAACCCACTACGAACAATTCAAGCCCATCACTTAGAGCCCAATACACAACCCACTTGATGAGGTCCAGAACAGCTGGAAGCCAACATGGCATGAAGAGCCAATGATATTCAAACATGTGGTAGGTAAAGGACAAGCCACATCAGCAGACAAAGATCTACAAAGTTATTGCCACTGCACATCGCCATTAATGCAGCCCTTCACAGCATTTATTACGACAACACCTCTCCGTCGAGACAGAACAGCTCCACCATGAACAAGGTGAGCTAGAACATAGACTTTCGGCCAAGGTGACAGGTCGGAAGGGACAACGAAATGATTACTACGAGACATAAGCGGAAGTCGAAGACAAGAAGAAGGTTAAGTTTTTCTATCTCTGAGGCATATCTCTACATTCCACTTCTCTCTCTAACTTACCCGTCGGAGGGTTCACTGGGGGACTCCCCATTCCCCGTTGAACTCTTGTGCAGGTTCTCAGGTGGGCTTGGCCATTCAGATATCGGTTGGAGAAGCGTGGACCAGTCCGATCCATTCCCTCTGGAACCCGTCGTATCGTAATTGTATCATCAGTTGGCGCCGTCTGTAGGAACGCTTTGCTCCTCGCTCCAGTTGTGTTCACTGTCGCCGGAGACCCTGTTCTAACAACCCTTTCTCGCTACCCATCGAAGTGTATAGTCACGACTAGATCCATGGCTTCCTACCAAAATGCTGCCGACTACCAAGCCGACCTCCCCAATCCGAACAACCCACCACAATATTTCATCGAGCTTACTAACAGCATTAACCGCATGGCCGAGCAAAATCAAGCCATGATTAATGCCCTACTCCAAAGAAACCTTCCTATGCCCCCCCACCTCCCGATATTCCTCCCAACCACGAACAAGCCCCGAGCCATACTATCCTGCAGCTAGGGGTGCAACTCGGGCGGGCTCAACCCGAGCAACCCGAGCCCAGCCCGAGTTTTTT